ATAGTTTGTGTTAATAATCCAAATCTGCAAAGTAACCAGTAACTGAAGTTGTCAAACAAATGTAGAGTAAAAAGTAGATGATTTGTCTTGTAGTGGAGTAGAAATATAAAGTAGCATGACATAAAATGAATCAAAATTACGTCAAATTTGTACTTAGTTACATACCACCACTGATAATAATTAAATTAATTCATCCATTAAGTTATACTGACAGGGGCCATTCTGCATTATGAGAACTTTCACCTTGGATACCTGACATTAAGTATTTATTATCAGTATGTAATCACTTATAGATCAACTCCCTTATTCCTGCATCCCTTGCACTCTGCACCATTGCACGCTTGTCTTACCGCTTACACATGTCCTCTTATTCTGATGTATTATAGCTGTTAATACCTCTCTGTACGTTGGTTCGATTGTAATACTGATTGTTACACTCCCACGTGTAAATGTCCACTCAAATCATAATTTAAACACAACTTCCTCACCAGTGTGACCACCGTACTGCGGTCATGTTGTCCGTCATCCGCGGAACACTTGAACACAGCCGGCACTTGAAATGTAATGCTCGTCTATTCGTGGTGCTACGGTACGGGTGCTTGGATAGCCCAAAAAGCCCGGAAATAGACCTATATTTCATCAATAATTTGCCCAATTTGTTAAAAAAACAACGTCATTTTGTACATTATATGAAATCCAACAATAAAAAAATCTGAAATTACACTGCTGTATAATCTTTAATTGAAAAAGGGTTCGAAAATTATAATATTGCCTAATAATAATCTTTGATCTGTAAAAAAAACATTTCCTTCAATGGTTAGCTAAAATTTCCGTTGGAGTTATGTTCATGATGACCCCATGTATGTACATGTCCAATGTAATGTAATTTTACTGTACAATCTTTGAGAAAATTAAAGGCAAAGTCAGCTCAAATGACATTTTGATATTTATAATTTCCCAATATTTGACATTTTATAAAAATGAATCCTTATGAGGTTATGTCAATATTTCAATGGATTATTGTTAATGACGACCCTCACTATGTACATGAATATTTCCATGAAATATTACTGTACAGTTTTTGAGAAACTTAGATGTAAATTCAGCTCAAATGACATTTTGATATTCATAATTTCCCAATATTTGACATTTTATAAAAATGAATTCTTAAGAGGTTATGTCAATATTTCACTTGATTGTTGTTTATGACGACCCTCACTATGTACATGAATATTGTCTTAAATATTACTGTACAGTTTTTGAGAAAATTAAAGGCAAAATCAGCTCAATTTACATTCATTTTCAGAATTTTCCTATATGACAGGTTATAAATACACATCCTTAAGAGATTACAAGAAACTCCTGCCAACAGAATTGCTGTCATATATTGTGCAGTTAAGCCTTGATAAAGACATGGCAATGCTTTACTTGGACCATGACTTCGACAGTGTCGTTAATATGATGAGGCTCTACAAATCTGTTGGACACGGAAGTGGTCTTGCAAAGAGACTAAAGGAGCTATTTAGTGAAAATAGCAAGTGGATGTTGTCCTGGGTACTGCCTAGGAATATGGGCTGTGGCCAATTTAAAATCCTGGACATTTTTTGAAAGACACAGCCTTAACTCTTGTGTTCATGGTTACAGCAGCTTCAAGTGTGTTTGTAGTTTAATGTACTTAAGCATTTAGAAGAAAAGTGTTTCTTAGACTATCTGTGGCTAGCTGTCTGTTTTTGTGAATGCTGGTAAAGTTCTTGCCACTATGGCTTCTTCATGAGTAGATTTTGTTAGTTAGAACTGAATTGTTTGTATGTTTGAAAATTGTTGTATTGTTAAGCTATATGCTGTGCTTGCTTTTTACCGGATGGCTTATTTAAAAATTAGTCACTTCAGCACAATGTCACAGCCCGGCTCAAAAGGCCGCAACATGAGGTAGACAAGACGAGTATAAAAGTAATCAAATAGACATTAATTTAACAGCCAGCCAGCCAGCCAGCCAGCCAGCCAGCCAGCCAGCCAGCCAGCCAGCCAGCCAGCCAGCCAGCCAGCCAGCCAGCCAGCCAGCCAGCCAGCCAGCCCACACAGGAGTCAGAGAGGAGAGACCCCCAGCCAAAGAAGAGTGTCAGCCTTTATAGCTGGGACCTACAGCAGGCCCAGGTGTGGCTCATCAGCAGAAGATTACCATCCTGAAAGACAACCTGAAAACAGGACACAGAGCCCTGGTGGAAGGGAGGGGTCGTCGCAATGACAATTAAAGATAAAACTTTATAGCAATTGTAATAATTTTGTCTGTCTTTCTATACAGTACAAATGAGCCTAATCATGATTGCATGAAGATAGAGCTATGTGTTTGTGTTTTGTGTGTGTGTCTGCATGTAGGCATGAGTGTGTCACTGTCCTGACATTTGTGTGTACCCTTTGATGTTTGTGTTACAACAATCTTTTTTACAAAATGGTAAATGTATTACCCTTAGAATGTTTTTATAAATGCGGGTTTTAGTGCATGATCAAGTGAAACTGTATTCAATTTTTTACAATTTTCACAAGACAAAATTAAGTAAATGTAAAAAAGTTACTTATGTGCAGTACTTAAATACATTTAATGCAGGCTAATTTGTTAAATTCCAACACATACAAACAGAACTGATGCTAACAGACAGAAAAAAATAACATATCCAGGAAAAACATCTGAGAAAACAGCCAAGACGAGGATATTCCTTTTGCTCCTACCAGCTGTTTTTTTTGTTATCTACCTAAATATTCTATTTTAATTCATATTAAACACCTAACATGGCCTTTGGGACAACAAGAAAAGAGATGGTGCAGGAATGTCGACACGTGGCACTTAAAATACTCGAAGCATCAGGTGTGTGACAGCATTTCTTCATATTTATTTATACTGTGATATTGTACTACTAAAGATCTAAAATGTTTCTAAATTAGTTTTTGACATCGAAAAAAACTGTGCCATGTGTTCTGCCACAAAGCTACCCACTCCAGAACCTGCTATCACTGAATGGGTAAGGTGTTGTTGTAGTTAATTGTATTTGTGCATTTGTTAATGGATCTGAGTTTTTGTTTTGGCATTTTGTAGATTTAATTGAGAATGGACAGTAGAGGGCTGACAGGAAATGAGGTTAGAGAGAGAATGGGAATGTCATGTAACAAAGGTCGCCATTCAGAGTCATATCAGTGATATTGCGGTTTACTCCTCTAACACTAGGGCACCTCTTGTTTTAATCTTGGCAATGCAAACAAGATTGGTGTACCTTCTTTTGAGTTTCCAGGAATATGTGTGCAATTTCAAATTAACTAAATACATAGGACAGAGAGGCTTCATTGTCCATCACAATCTCAAGGAACACTTGCTATCATCTGCACCAAGCCACTCTGATATGTCCATATACTCTGCCTTGCTCTTTTCCTTGCATTTGCACCATGGCAGCTGGCAAATTCAGATATAGGACCTGTCCTATTGTTGATTGTCAATCAATAAAAACAACATTGTAAAAGCTGTGACCATGACAATAACAATGTCCCATTTGATTAAATAATGAAAATAATTTCAAATTTAAATAAAGTTTGCTTTTGGGGTGAATTCCTGTTTGAAGTCTGTCTTTACTAAGTTGTTTCAATTTTATCCTTTTTCAGATTCAGTGTTTTCATGTTGTGTTCAGATTTCATGTTGTGTTTTTATCATTAAAAGTTTTTCTTTGAAACTTGACAATTAGAAAACAATTAATGCGCATGTGTTCCAACTGAATCCGAATCCAAATACATTAGTTTTAGAACAATGCCTTTGATCACCACCACACTAAGGAGGTACGTAGAGGGAGGTAGAGCTATATACAGTATGTCCAAGATGACACAAAAGACCAAGGCTTTTACTAAGCTTAATAATATAGACAATCAAAACATTAGACATACAGCAAAATTACATGGGATTTTTAATGGACATAGTCGGAGTGATCATGAAAAAGAATCCATTGAAAATGTACTAGAACCTCTTAAGGAACTGTTTCAAACGGTATAAAGGATTATCTTATCATATCCTTATTTAACAGTTTAAAATATGAGGACATTATGAATATCATGTCATTTGAGCAGACTTTACATCTAATTTTCTCAAAAACTGTACAGTAATATTTCATAACAATATTCATGTACATAGTGAGGGTCGTCATTAACAAGAATCCATTGAAATATTTGACTTATGTCAATATTTCAATGGATTCTTGTTAATGACGACCCTCACTATGTACATGAATATTGTCATGAATATAAATGAATCCTTAAGAGGTTATAAATCCTCTTAAGGATTCATTTTTATAAAATGTCAACTACAGGGAAATTATGACTTTCAAAATGTAATTTGAGCTGACTTTACATCAAATTTTCTCAAAACCTGTACAGTAATATTTCATGACAATATTCATGTACATAGTGAGGGTCGTCATTAACAATAATCCATTGAAATATTGACATAACCTCTTAAGGATTAATTTATATAAAATGTCAAATATTGGGAAATTATAAATATCAAAATGTCATTTGAGCTGACTTTACATCTAATTTTCTCAAAAACTGTACAGTAATATTTCATTACATTTGACATGGAGATACATGGGGTCATCATGAACATAACTCCAACGGAAATTTTAGCTAACCAATGAAGGAAATGGTTTTTTTAGAGATCGAAGATGATTATTAGGTAATATTATAATTTTGAACCCTTTTTCAATTAAAGATTATACAGCAGTGCAATTTCAGATTTTATTATTGTTGTATTTCACTTAATGTACAAAATTACGTTGTTTTTGACTTGTTATATCAAATTGGACAAATTATTGATGAAATATAGGTCTATTTCGGGGCTTTTTGGCTATCAAAGCACCCGTACCGTAGGACCTCGAATAGACGAGCATTACATTTCAAGTGCCGGCTGACATCACCGCAGTACCACCAAACTGGTCACAGCAGCGCCCCTGTCGACGCGTCATCGTCAGTGATCACGTGCTATATCTACAACGATTCGCTGAAGTTGGAGAAAAGTTTGACAAGCCTGAAGATCTTCGAGAGAAAGAGAGAGAAAGAGAGAGCTGCTAAACATCGAGTAAAAAAGGCTCATCAACGATACTAAAAGGTTATTGATCTCCTGACACACTATGGAATCTGTCGCCCAGGTAATTGCGCTGACAGGAACTTGAACACGCTTAATGGTGCATTCTTTTTTTACGCAAACACGCCTATTTGTGTGTGTCTGCAGTGCAACAGCTTCTCCCTCACATTGCGTGTTTGTTTCTTAATAGAAAGTGATGTCTGGGCGGTTCACTCTTGACTTTGGACCTCTGAAAGAACCGTTGGCATTCATCCGCTTGCTGGAATGGGTAAGTTTTTCCCCAAATCTTTTTGATCATTACGGCCTATGGCGGGGTGTCTTCATCATGAGCTGTCCATCCCTCATAGCTGAAATTCCATGCAGATTGATTATGTTGTTTGTCTTGTGACGCACTGTGCGCCTGGTGAGGCTGTGACACTGTTTATAATTACGCTAGTTCAGGGGGCGTCCGTGTCCGTCCGTATCCGTCCGTATCCAGATAACGTTACGCATAGACAAAATATCTATAAACCACAAACTATGTGTTAAATGTAGCACCTGTAGCTAATATAAGGTAGGAAAAGACTTCATGTGGTGACTAACTGTTAAGGTTGACAATATTTCTAGCCTAATAACAATTCAAAATGTGACTTTTGCCAGCAGATGGGTGTTGGTATGTGTGCTTTCACTTTCCAGATAAAAGAACCCAGTGCATTGCTGACGTTACTAGTTTTATCTATGCTTTTAAAAGTACGGACATTCTGCTGTGAACTCTGAACACCAGTCACAGTGATGGCATCTGGTGATGAAGACGATTTCCTGTCAATAGTATGTTGCATAAAATGAAAAGGGAAGTATGTGTGTGTGTGTGTGTGTGTGTGTGTGTGTGTGTGTGTGTGTGTGACAGTTTGATCAGCACTCAACATGCCAACGTATCTCCTCTTATCTTGTGTCTGCGGCTGCAGGTGTTCTCCATATTTGCCTTTGCCACAACTGGAGGTTACAGCGGCACCACCAGCATCAACGTCCAGTGCCTTGGGAGTGCCAGTGAAGAAATAAAGGCAAACTTTAACTACCCATTCAGGTGTGTGTGTGTCTGTGTGTGTCTCACACTCCTTTACAGTGAAGAACCAGCTTATTGAAAAGTGTTTGTGTTTACTCTGAGGATTTTCATAATTTTCAATTCATATCTGTGTTTACACAGGTTGATGCAGCATCCCTATTATGTTCCTGACTGCAAAATCAACCAAACTACCACTACTGTAAACTTCCTGACTGGAGACCACACATCCTCTGCACAGTTTTACGTCTGCATTGGAGTGTTGGCCTTTCTCTACACCACTGCCACACTAGTCCTCTACTTGGGCTACCAGCACATATATAGAGAATCTAGTCGTGGCCCCACTGTGGTATGTTTGTCTGAATTCTCCACATTTTGCCGTTTTGGTGAATGTTTGTGGTTAGCCAAGTCTCTGTGCATGAAATTACACGGGGGATTTACAATAGCTTGTATTTGAAGAAGAGTGTTTTGCATGCATTTCCTGTGAGCTTTTGTGCAAATTCAGTAGTGAAACCACTGACCTAAATAGATGAATGTAGTTTTATCTTTGCAGGTAATATTTGTATTTATATTGGTTTGTTTGTAAAATGTTGCATCTGACATCAGCTGCTGGATTTCAATGAGTCCACTTCATCCTGGAATCCAACTGGAGGTCAGAGAAAGTGCATTTAACAGAGTCGTGTAAATGAAACTGAGGGAAGGGCTGTGGCTCCCAAGCAACTAAGGGACATACTGCACTATAGTCTACGTTCAAGAAAGCTGCTTGAGTGACGCTACTGCTGTGGTCGGTTTAATGGTTTTAAACTGATCATTTTTCTTCTCTAAGGACCTGTTGCTGACTGCCGCCTTGACCTTCCTGTGGTTGGCATCATCCTCTGCTTGGGCTAAAGGCTTGACTGACGTGAAGTGGGCCACCAGTCCTGCAATCATTGTAACTTTAGTTGAGGTGTGCAGGGATAAAATGAACCTGTGCACCCCAGGTGCTGTGCCTCACATGGGCCGACTGAACGCCTCTGTGGTAAGTTGTATGGAACTTTATCTCTTTCAGACATCATGTGCACAACAGCCTGGGATATTTGACTTATGCCTTATTCTTTGGCAGATTTTTGGTTTTCTCAACCTCATCGTGTGGGGCGGCAACTGCTGGTTCATTTACAAGGAAACACCTTTTCACAAGTCAGCCAACCCGCCTGCAGAGGTGCAGGAGGGAGTCGGGCCATCGTAACCGCGCAGCTGCCTTGTCACAAAATTGAACGAGTCGTTTTGGTACTAATTGTTAAAATGCTGTACGTTTCCAAATCTGACTGCTCCTTTCTTTTTTTTTTTTGCTAAGTATTCATTTTATAATTAGGGCTGTATTGTCTCGAATACACTTAAAAAAATAAACTAGAACTTGTTGTTCATAGTCAAACTAATACAGGAAATTGTAGCAGTCAAAATGTTTTTTTCAGAGATTCTCAGTTTGCATGTTTTAAAACATTTGTCCCCAGGTATCCAAAGCAAAGTGCCCCTTATTTAAAATGGTAGTGCAGATGTGGACTGTGCATCCTTGTTGGTGATAAATCAGAATAAAGCATCACTTTGTCAACTGCCAACAGCATTTCTGTACCATCAGCATTTAAAAAAAACAAAAAAAACTCAGGGCTGTTGAGTGTACGAAATACAAAATAGCTAAGAAATACTTGAAGTGCATTTATAATTAACACAGGTCTAGACAGAATCAAATTTTAGCCCAAAAATACAATAGGCATCAAAACATGTAGTTACAATGAATTCATGTTGAATAGATGTTCTTTGGACCATTAATCCAGTTGCCATTATGAGATTATTTTTAATGGGTGAAAGCAGTTTAATTGCATCTTTTTGTGTAATGTTGCACCTCATCTTACTACAGAAGGCTTAATTCCGCAGTTAATTAAGTATTTTTGACTGACAGCATTTTTGCTCTTTAGGATTTTTTTTTACATTTAACTCTTACATTTATTACGCAGCATTTTGTATCTTTTCCCTGGATGTTTATAATGTTTTATAGCAAGGTCATACAGTATTTCAAAGCTAATGTTCTATGTATTCTATAGCCTTAGCTTAGTGTTGGTAACAATTTACTGATCGCTAACTAGAAACTAACAGTTTTTCATGCTATTACCTGGCTTCCACCTTATTGTAAGATGAGCCGTTTACTCTATTACTGTCTTCATAATGATTTCCTGCTTTGATAGCTTTGCTTGATTCACAGTTTCTTGATCCGCAACTGTGTTTGTAAGTGTCACATAGAGGAGACACTTACAAAGTTCCTGTTCCTGGAGTTCCTGTTCATGTCAGGAAGAAGTTGTCATGAAATGCTGTGCATCATTAAAAGGATGAACTGAACTTGTTGTTACGTGTCTGATTGTTGTAACTGGTGGGAGCACACATACATACTGTACGTAATGTTTTTATCAGACAGGTGAATAACATCTGACACCTCTCTCACACTTCCTGTTTATTAGTTTTATTAATTTGTGCTGATTAGGCATTCAGCATAAAATACCAGGTAGCATATGATGCAGTTTGACACTCACTAGGTGGCAGACAAGCTACTTCTATCAGGTATCATCATCATCAGCTGATACCATAAGCATCCTCATGCACAAGACTTCAAATTAACCTCCTGAGCCTCATCGGTCCAGTCAAGTGCTCAGTCTGTCAGTGAATCGGATGTGAATGCCTGACATTGAAACTGTGATGGGTATTTTTAAACAGATCTTATGACATTCAATAGACTAATCGATCAATCGGAACATATTTATAAATGGAAAATAAATATTAGTTGCAGTCCTTAAAATTATATCTAAAATATAAATAATGCCATTCAACTGAGAAAACTGCAGCATGCAGGTATTGGGTACACAGTGTTATTAGTTAAGTGCTAATAACACAAGTGAATTTTGAACTGCTATGATTATACCTGCGTCTTGGTGTCCTTGTATTGTATTGTATTTAGTTGTTGCTGTATTTGTTTTTGTTGTATATGGACTCATGATCCGGAAATAAAAGTTGAATAACCTGTTTCTGCTTGTGTGTACAATCTCTATCCACATTATATCTTTAATCACAAATGTCTTAAGTATTAGTAGTAGTTGTGATGCATTTATTCTAGCTTTATTCTGCTAGTTATAAAACAAAGAGTTTAATAAATATGGTGACTTTCGCTGTGAATGTAGATGTATTACGGACGTTATGTTGGTCTTACTTACGCGACCTCAAAGTCGCGGTCGCGAGCTTTAGTGACGCGGTTGCGATGCGCGTGAACTGACGCCATAACCTCGCGAACGCGCAAGAGCAGCAATGGCCGCTTTGGATCGGCGAAATCCTAATCTCGACGATTTTGTCGGATTAAACTGGAGTTGTTGGGTAGAAAGAGTGAATATTTTACCATCTGACGGTGAGTCGCATTCCCTGCCCCGGACCTGGTCTTCATCACGTCACAGTGCCCATGTCCTGTGATTTATCTGTTGTTACATACACATAGCGGCATAAAGGGCGACCCAAACAAAAGACCCGCTGGGTCCTAGTGCAGGGTCTGTTTGCTAGGAATGTTAACTGGCAACAAACAAAGAAACTAATTACAATAATAATATATTATGCGTTTTGTATTGTAGCGATACAACGCTATAAATACAACGTGAACACCTTACCTGTGGACTTACCGTTAGCGTTAGCCTGTAAGCTACTGTCACACTAAACAACAACACTACTTAAGGAGGATTTGTCCAGTTTGCTAACCGCAAAACTGAGCAACTCACAGCTGCGACTGGACCACACAACAGGGGAGTTGGTGGCAGTCGATGTTTGATAAGTGAGGTTTCGAGATGGGAATTTCCTCTGGATAACTTTTAGATGTATGAGTAATATCCGCTCAAAACCCGCTTAAATCTGGAACTAATTTGAGTGACCTGTTCCGGGTTTTACTCAGCAAAGATATTCATGTATTGGTGAAACCTGCCTCATGGAAGATGCTACAAAAATGTCCCCTCACAATTTTTTTTCATGCTGACTGTTTTTGCCTTCCATGCAGCTGGGTCTCATGTTGACGACAGCAGCAAGCATGTGAGAAAGCACCCTGAGACCATGACCCTCAAGAAAGAAGGTGACACATGAAACTCACACTCGGTGCATTCAGCAGTGCCTCGAGTCATGGATACCACTTTAACTTTTCTATTCACCTCCATAGATATGCACACATTTGGCCATTACCCAGCACACGATGAGATCTACCTGGTGGTGTGCAGCCACTGTGGCCAGCTGGTGAAGCCTCAAGCCTTTGAGAAGCACTGTGAGAGGCGGCACGGTCCTCTCACTAAGACGTGTGGACAGTCTCCTTCTTTGGCTCCACAGCAGCGACTTCGCCCTGCACGCCCTCTTGTGAATCATTCCTCGTCTAGAGAGAGGCGGAAAGATGGCAGATGTCATGAAGCCGGTGCCCCGTCCTCCGCAGCATCACCGGTACACCAGCACAGGCCTAGCAAGGCCCAGCAGGAGGCAGTGAGGTACTGTTTACGACTGTTTTTCTCACAGCAACGCACGGAATGTGAATTATTCTGATATAGAAGATGCTTAACTGAAGAATGTGGCCCAGTTAATTTTTATGTCATTTGGAACTTGCATGACTCTGAACTCAGTCCCCTTTTGTATCTAAATTTTAAGCCTATATTGCATACATCCCTGAAGTTGTCTTCTCTAACTACCTCTGCAGTGTTCGTTCAGTGGAGAAATTCCCTCAGGAGAAGTCTCCCCTCCCACACCACTCGTCCTCCTCCACGCTTCGCCCCAGGGTCCCTCCATGGCACTCAGGACCCCTTCCCCCTGGCCACTGTTCCTCCTCCACTTCTCCGTCAGAGTTACCCACAGTGCAGAAGCCCACAGCCGGGCAGTCCAGTGAGTCTCAGAGCCCTCTGCGGGGAGCGAGAACCTACAGCCGGACTCACAAAAACATCAATAGTAAGTCTGCTGTTTATACAACGTCTCTTGTGTCTTCCTCGACTGCTTTTCTACCATGTCTCTTAACTGTCAAGGACCAATAAACATTTAGCGTATTAGCCTGGGTATGATATGTTGTATACAGCAGTATTTACATGCTAGCATAAGTATGCATAATAGTTGCCTCTTAGTTTGTTTTTGAAAAATGACCATACGGTGGTCTGTAATCTCCACCAGCAGTGGATCATGTTGACCGTCTGTGTTGCTCACTGACTACTGTGTTTGCTTTCTTTCCCATAGAGAAAGAATGTGACCTGAACAAACAGTGTGGGGTTCTGAATCCAGAGAGGAAGAAGCTGTGCAGCCAGGAGCTTATATGCAATGTAAACTCTCGATGTCCCGTTGTGGCCTTTTGTCCAATATCGTTACCAGTGTTTATTATTAACAGAGATATTTTGTCGTAGAAGTCGCATTTGTCACTTGATACAGGAACGTAGAATATTTTTATCTGATTATCATAGTTTGGGATGGGATGTAAAGCCTCTTTTTTTCCTCCACTGTGCTGTGCTGTTGTCTCTACACAGACGGATTCTGTCCACCAGCAGCAGAAAGCTTTGGGAAGGACTAAGACCTCTGATCAATTGACAGAGGAGCAGAAAACAGCCTCTGCAGGTCGAGATATGGAGCAGCTTCCTGTCAAATCAAAAGACAAAGAGCAACATCATCAACAACAAGAGAAAATAACACTGCAGAGTAGTACAACTTTTAACAGCAACTGTCATATTCTCAGGTATGAAATGTGTTTTTTTTTTTCATATAAATACATTTAATTGAACTAAAACAAATTGTTTCTGGATATGAAGTATTTCTCTAAATCGCTGGTTGAGATAAACAAGGGCACAATGACGTGAAAGCTGAACAACATAATTACATACTTAAGTCAGAGATATATTAGCTTGTGTGTAGGATGGTTGCTTTGCGTATCCTGCACATTCTCAATAACAAAAAGCATCAGTAAAAAAACAAAACAAGGTAGGCCTATGATGGATTATTAAACCGAAATATAACCGGACCGTTGAATCTGCATTATTGCACAAAGGAAATATTGATGTTTCATTGATGTTGCACAAGTTAATTGTTTTTACTGAAGCAGTGTTGATTGTTAAGTGTGACAGCCGCAGGAAGGAAGGAGCTCCGGATTCTCTGAACACCACGGTTGTCTTTTCCTAACTCCTCATGAACTCTCCTTCACATCTTCCCTTGACCCCATAACGTTTTCCATAGAGGTTAAGGAAAAGTGGTTAGGAATAGGAGGCCATTTTTGGACTTTTGGACCGCAGCCCAAGTCTGCAATTACCGACACACTGACAAATATGCTTGTCATAATAGCCATCTTCTATATGGGCCGAGTCCTCTGGTGTGCCCTCTAGTAGATTCCTCCAGTAACAAGCATTACACATAGGATATACTGTATATGATCAATTCCCCTCACAATGCAGCTGGTTGTCATCTTTTTTGCCTTCAAAGCAGGTCAGAAAGCATTCCAGAGGAGGAAGGTGGCAGCGCTGTGGAAGTGGAGGCGCAGCCTCAAATTCCCTTCAACAGGAGCCTGTTTCCAGGCGAGGAGAGTGAAGACAACGAGCAGGAGGAAGCCTTAGACCTGCCTGCCACACCCTGGCACCCCAAACCTCTCGGGGTGAGTGCAGAAATAGTATTACAATGTAGAAGTAGTTTAGTATGATTGTTTTAAGAGGGACAAAGTTGGTTTAAGCAGTTGGGAGGTCGGAATTTAGAGAAAAGAAAAGGGTGGGTCTCAATGCTTTTGACTGAACTACTCTTAAACACCGTTTACACCTCTCAAAAGTACACATGAGTGTGTCTGTGTGATTAAGCCTGTTTCTGTCTTGTAGCTATGCACTTTTGGATGCCGCACATTGGGCTGCAGCATCTTCACCTTCAACCGGCGTTGGCACCACCTGCGGGTTGCCCTCAGTGCCATGTTGGAGCACCATGTCAGCACACACTTGTTGAAGTGAGTATCACTACTCTATAGAGATGTCGCCTATTTCAACATGACAAGGTGAAGAAAAGAGCTGCTCAGTGAGTCGGGAGACACCTAGCCAGGATCCAGTAGGAAAAAAAAGAATAGTGCATTCCCATTTAAATAGAATTGAATTATCTGATGAGGAAAAAGGACAGACATTCATCTGAAAAAAGATCTGAAGAGGATGAAAAGGATTGATTGACATGTTTTCACGTCATCAACAGAGACTTAAGAAAAACGTAAGTTTATTTGCCCGCTTGAAGTGTCTTATTTCACAGGTTGTGGGTTGGTAGTCACTCCAGATATCCAAATGTATGTGCACAAGCACTGAACATCTGACAAGCCGGATAAGAGAAAGCTCTTTTACACAATATACATGAAAAACAGGAATTGTAATCTGCTCCATGTTTTTCCTTTAACTTACAGGAAAATGCCTCAAGTATCGTCAGGTCTAAGGTCCTGTAATGTCACACCTCCAACTGTAGGATCACCTGTCAGGACTGCTAGACCTACCAAATCCACCATCTCCCTCAGCCTTGAGTCTACCTCACTGGGACCACTGGAAACCAAAACCAGTCAGCACAACTCTCACAGTGTCAAACCGCCGTCTTCCACCACATCTGCGAGACTTGTGCAGGATTCAAGTGCAGCACAGAAAGCTGCTCACAGCGGTGAGGACAAATCTTCCAAATACATCAGGGATCCCCTCCTCAACGAGAAGGGCCAGCCACACGTCCCCTCCAATCCAGGAACGGTAAATGGCACATTCTCACACAAAAAGAAGCCATGCCCTCCTCTCCACCCCTCCCCCCGCAGCAGAAGGAGGCCCCCAGGAATTCAGGAGAAGGTGGTGGGCTACGACCACAGAGGTCCTGCCCAAAAGCGCAAAGGCAGCAATGAGCCTCAGCCCCTCAGCTCCTCACTATCCAGAACCAAGTGTCAACGCTTGTCCTCCCCTTCCCAGAGAGGAGAGAGAATGGAAAGAATAACGGGCACGCGCATGCTTTGGGCCTGGAGAAAAGATCCAACTCCCGAAGAGTGAGTAGACTGGCAATACTACAGGTCGCATACCATCAATGAACATGTTCTTGGCCTGAACTTGATTGTATGTTTTACCAACAATCAATGCATTTTTTAGGTGACAGTTGTTGTTTACCTCTTATCTTCACAGCCAATAAAGAGGCCAGCCTTAAAAACACACTTGGAGAAGAAGTCCGCTGCAGCTGCTGCCTGCATGGTATGTGTGTGTCTGTACATTTCTGTCCACAAATGTTTAGGTCTTCACGTTGTTATGCACAGACATCAGGAATAAATATTTGTCTGCATGTTACATGTTACCATATGTATGTATTTTTGCAAACAGTCTATTTTTCTACGTGACTAAATGTCTCAGTTTGTTACTTGTGTAAGAATGTAAAAATACCTCAATCTACTCGTCATGCTGCTAAAATGAAAAGTGATATCATGGCAAAACAATTACAAATTCTTTGATCCTTATCTCCCCGTGTCTTCTGTTTTATACTGCGGTTCTGTACCAATACAGTATTAAAATGGTCAAAATGCAATTTTGGTGAGTTTAGTTTACTCGTTACTCAAATTATGAAAATTGACAGGTATATTTGAAGGTTTTTCTCTAATTGTCCCAAGTGCTGCTTTGATCATTTTTAGATTTTCTTACACCAGATGCTGTTATCTGGTATTTGGAAAAATCAGTCGAGTAGATGAGCAGACAGCATTGTTTTGTTCCAGTTCAACCAGGTAGACACTGTTAAACTAAAACATACTTATAAATGTGAAGTTACTCCCACAATAATTATGACAGCTCATGTGTCATGTGGACATTTTAAAAAACATTTACTTTGACGTTATTCTAATTTTTATTTGTCTACTCAAAGTACAGTTATACAAATCAGGGCAAGCATTTTGTTTAAATTTGTCAAATGGTGTAGATGTGGCCAGTAAATGTCAGTGTTTACATTCAGTAGTGCACTACTGAAGTTTACCACTAGATGTTGTGAAGCCATCAATGATGCTCCTCTGGAAAAAAAGCAGCTTGATGAACCTTTAGCCATTTCCAGCAAGTTATGTAAGCACACACTTTATATAAACCTACTTCGTCTGTTATATTACAGGTAAAATTATTTACTCACTTCAAGATGAACATTCATACTTCGCATGGAGTTCATACACATCTACGTAGATCAGATTTGCCATACAGTCAGTTACTTATCAGGGAAATACATGGCGAAGTATCCCCCAAAAGCTACTCTATATTTACTGTGTTAGCACCTCTACATTAGTCATAGTAACGTTGGCAAAATGTCACAGCTTTGTCCTTAAACTACTCCATGAGATATCAGCCACAAAGATTTAAACAAACAAATACAGGAACATGTCACAGATGATTTCTGGAAATAGTAAGAGACAACAGTAAAAATGGAGTCGGCACAAAGAGAAAATCTTGATCTTTTTTTATTAAGTCAAATTACATTTTCCTTAACTTTAATGCCTACTAGGTTGCACCTATCCTGCAGTCAGAGAAGCTCTTAAGCGAACCATGCAAAGCCATTCCACTTTAGCTGCAAGACCTTTCAGATTTTATGGCAGTGACCAACCAGCTCATCTTTGAGGCAGTGATCAATAAACTCTGTGCTCTTAATGCTGTTGAAAGCTCCATTCTTGTCCTGTGGACACCGTTAAAGCAGAGAGCTTTTAGCCCCACCACCTCAAGGATGTTTCCGTAATTGCTACTACATAGTCAGATGAAGGGAGATAGATGTATGTCGGGCAGAGACCACTCCCTTCCCTAATCATTAAGGGAACAGTAAATGTACCATTACTGTAAATAGCAAAAGGCCCGTGAACTGCACAGATCTCGAACCGAAGATTTCATTTTATTTATGCTGCAAATGTGAAAACATTTGTGCATCGTATTAAATTAGAACTTAAAAATGACATAGTCCTGAGAAGATTTATTTACCGTCTGTCTTCAAATCCATTCAGAACCCACTGTGTTTCAGGAATTCATTGGCGGAGAGGTCTCTTGATTTTCCTCCCCGGCTTGTATAAAAATATTCTTTGACTTTTATTATAGGCAGAAAAGTTGTTGCTTTAATGGTTGTAAGATGTCCGTTTGAGAACTCCATACATCACCTGACATAGCCACCATTCTGATGAAGCACTCCTTCACTTTCCCCTTGCATTCCTTATGGCTTTGTGATACTGACTGAGAATAACTGGTGGCTACATACTCACTGCCCATTAGGATGTATCGATTATTTCAAAACTGGCACTCCTCCTGTGCAGTTTTTCATACATGTTCAATCAATATTTTCAATTTAACCCTATTGTTCAGCAGAGTCGAGTGTAAAATACATCCTATGTCAATAAAAAATTAAACCCCACCCCGCTTAAAAAATAAACATTGATGGTCAAGACTTGAATGTTGAAACGACTAACAGTAGCACAGCGGCAGACGTAATGCGAAATGACATCCGATTATACAAGAATACAGTCAATACACTGGTAGAACATAGCAGTACACAACTAATCAATACTGAACACAGAAAAGTGAGTCTGAATACATATATATACTGTATATATAGATATATATAGGAAGGCAGATGTGCTTTGGAGACAACAAAGCCGCTCTTCTCCTCTATGCTGGGACCTTCGCAATAGCACTTCGTTTTTCTCTGTACAGAACTGCAACTTACATTTTGAGTGACAACCCAGAGGAGAAGACCAATCATTAGCCAGGGCCGATTTAACTGTATTGACACTTACTGCGGGGCAAACACATGCTATTACTTGATAGTCTTCCAGATCAATGTGCGCAATGCAACAGCCATTATATCTGTGTATGAGTTTAGTTTGGTTTTTTTAACCATATTAGATTCTGTAACTGCCGTTTAGTAGCTTCTCAGGCTGCCTTGAGGGACCAGGGCTTGAAATCCGAGAGGTTTTGGATTGATCCAATGATGCGACAACAGGGAACAGCACATATATTGAAATTCTAGAGGGCAACACTTAAAGGTTGGAGCCCTAAAACGGGATTGATTTTCTGCCAATTGCAGCCAGTCAGCAGTAGTGCTAAATGTGGCTTTACATGTTTCCACCTGGTATTCCTATGTGTGTGTGCAAGAGTGGAATGATTCACACACCACCTCTCCGATAAGTGTGACTTCCTCTTCTCACCCACACACAGAAGATGCTGCGTTGCACCCTGCAACTGTGAATATAACCTACATTTTAAAAAAACCTATTGCACTCAGAAAAGTGTACATTTTAACATTTGAGAGCTACACTGACATTTCATTTCTAGATGTATGGGATTTTATATATCTGTTCTATATCTGTTATATCTGTTCTTCTATGTAGTGTTGTGGTGAAGTGGAAAACCAAGAAGCATTGAGCAATAAATTCTTTCCAAGTTCTTGTATTCTACTTTGAAAATGATAAGACTCAGTGGGAGAGCAAATGTTGAATGAGAGCTCCAGGCGTTTCCCTTGTAAACATATGAAAGACTACTTAAAGGGCGTCACATTCATTGCCTGGTTGAGTGATTGCTTTTGAACTAAAGTGAGGGCAGCCCCGTAATGACAGAGGTACACAAAAAAAGCAAACACATCTGGGCTGAATTGAGGCTGTCAGTGTGCAGCGAGCCAGAGAGAAAGGCTTTTGTGTTGCTGTGACTCATGATAACACACCTATCCCCTGCTCCTCAGAGAGACAAAGACATGGAAAGCAGAAGGAAGCTGCATCCCATCAATAGATGCAATTAGCATTTACGCCGGGCTAGCCTTGTTGTATTATGACACTAACTCCGCACCATTTAATAAAATCCCTCTTTCTTGTCCACGCCTGTTTTAAACCTTGTTAATGAAATATGCACAGCATACAGGTGTTTCGCACGGAAAATAATTCAACTTATCTTCTGAAGTCTCCAGTTTTACATGAGGTTTCCTGACAGTAGCTATAGACTCTAAGATCAGCTCTGTCCTGTCAAATAATGTACAGCCTCATCAACATTACTCATAATCCTCTGGAGGAACCCTGTAGGTTTTATTATTTGGCAGACTCTGTTTACCTGCTAATGCAGCGTACCTACCACAGGACAAAACATTGTGACACTTGTAATTGTCCATCCGAGCAAAATACTTGCAGTAAATCTACTACATAGTTTATGACATATAAATACACCAAGGTTTATGTTCTGTGTAAGGTGCATGAATAAAGTAAACTCAAGCTGGCAGCTTTTAGCTTGGTCTTTAACTTCCTGCTAGTGTGACTGAGAGAAACAAATGCTATAACTTGGCCGAGAGGAAAAGTCAAGCTCCTCAGGAGGTGGTACCTCAGTCTATTAGTCCTTGTAAGAACCATGGTACCGGTCTGTACACAGAACTAAATACAATATGTTGATAATCATTCAAGACAAAATAATTCCCTGCTAATGTCTAATGTGTATCTGCTGGCTGTGTGCCATGTGTTTAATTGTCTTTTTGGGTTATACTGTCGATGTGCAATAATTAAGAGGCAATTCTTTTCATTTATAGTCCATTCATAAGCTATTTTCTGCCTCAAACTGGTTAACTATTTTATACCACACCTCTATGTAAATTGATCCCTATTTCTCGATGACCGATTTCTCCTAAATCGCTGTCCACGACTATGAATATGAATAAAGATCGGACGGATGAACTATATCCGACTGTAGCTAAGTATCGGATATGAAGTAGAGTGGAAATGACCTGCGATGGCCTCTTAATATAATGTTAGTGCTACTGCTTTCTCAATGTGCACGTTTTCTTTATCCTATACAGATCAGCCTGAGACCTCATATAATGAGGGTTTATGGCTTGCTTGTTTCTCTACAGATGACTCGAGGTTAACGACAGATGTATTCATGGCCTGTCCATCTAAGTCTCTGTCCCTGTGTGTCTATGCTTTAATGTTTAGGTAAGATTAATCTATTTTAGTCCGTGTAATAAATATAATTATGAGCCAGCCATGGTTTAAATATAAACTACGTTTTTCAAATCTAATTTCAACCTGTGATATCATATGTATTTCCCACACTTGAGCAGTTTAATGGATCACTTCCTGAGTGCTGATAGCAACAAAATATTGTCTACGTGTTACTTTCATAAGATTTCAGTAGTTCCCCTTGTTCTTGTACACTGCCATTCCTTCACAGTATGAATATTAAGTGCTACAGATTAAAATGCTGGAAAAGTCCTTCTTATTGTCCTTGTGGGCAACAAAACAGTTTTTTTTTTTTTTTTTTACTCCCTTTGAGATCCATATTTCCACTTGCCGACAACTATAGATGAACTTCCTTCCTCCGTTTCCTCCCACAAGGTCACAGTCACAGTTTACGTCGACTAAAACATGGCTCGCGTTGTACCATATACGTCCAGTCTTTGCCGGTCTCATCTCAGACCACCATGGGAGTGTCTGAGAAGACGGAGCTGATGGACTCTGCTACTGACTTCTTCCTCTTCCCCTTCATAAGAGAACCAGCCTCTGCATCCAGATCATCATCATCCTCATCCCCATTGGGGTTCAGCTTGCCGTTCTGGCCCTGCAAGTCCTTGGAGTCTATGAACGCCACGTGCCTGTTCAGCTCGGCCTTGAGCGCCGGGTCCTCGTGAGTCGGCGTCACGCTGAGCATGGACGAGTGGATGCTGTCATCACCCCGAGCCTTACCTTTATTGGGGCAGCAGCAGCAGCGACATGGCGTCAAGTAGAGATACATGAGCACAAGCACCACACTGGCCAGACAGCCCACCAAGGTGGTATAGGCTGTGTTCAGGCTCTCGCTGCCCCCGTCCATGGTGAAGTTGTGAACCTTCAGCACCACATAGATCGTCTCATTGAAGGCCTCGCTCATGGCAAAGCAAGTGTAGGTCCCAGAGTCCTCAATCCTCACCGGATTAATCTGCAGATTTCCATCTTTCAAGGCTTTGGCTGTCTGGTTGCTTCCAACTGTCACCGCCACATTACCTGGCATCATCCAGGTTTTTAACATCCCCCTGCGTTTGGTGTCACAGCTAAGGATCAGCCTCTGCTCTAAAAAAGCCTCTTCACCCGATTCCTTGAATGTGCTGCAGTTCATAATGTAACCGCTGAGATCAAAAACACCGACTTGGGTTTTTTGCGGGCCAGGCAGAATACAGGTGTAGTTGTCTTTGAAGTCCACAGCAGAGTTGAGCTTTCGAATGTACCAATGGGCAAGGAGTGTGTAAAGATCACAGTGACACAGCAGAGGGTTATTGTGGAAGTAGAGGCCGTTTTTAATCCAGGCAGGCAGCACCTGGAGCTCATCAATGGGAAACAGCTTGATCTTGTTGGAGGACACATCCAGGAGACTAAGTTTCTCCAGGCGGGACTTTTCCTTGACCAGCTCCACAGGGAAGCGGGAGATTTGGTTCTGGCTTAGGTAGAGCTTCTGAAGGTTGATCGTGCTGAGAAAGGCTGAGCGGTCAATCTGGGAAACTTGGTTATTGTACAGCAAGAGGACCTCCAGGTTGACCAAAGGCTCAAAGATGAACTCATCCAGCAGTTGCAAGTTGTTGGAGGACAGGTCCAAGTAACGCAGGTGCTTCACGTGTTGGAACGCCTCTGAAGACAGGAAGTGGAGCCCGTTATGGCTGAGGAGGAGGTTATGCAGCTTTAGGAGCTTGATCGGGGTCCACTCAGATCGCAGGCGCTCTATCTCATTGTAGCTGAGATCCAGCACAGCAGTGTAGAGCGGCAGACCTGTCGGGACGGTGGTCAGATTCATCTTGGAGCAGCTCACTATGTTTGAGGCGCAGATGCACGTCTTATGGCAGTTTAGGGTGGATGCCGCTGCCCCTGGAAGCCAGAGGAGAGCCATGCAGAGGGTGAGGGAGAGGACCCATCCCGGACGCTTACTCCAATGAGGTAATGTTTTCAGCAGGCTGTCACCTGTTCTGGTAGAAGGCTGCAACATGCTGGCTGTTGATCTAAATCCCAGAAAGGTTTACTATGATCCCATTCTCAGAGAAAAGCATGGAAGAGCAGCTGGAGAATTCCCCAGGTACTGCTAATTGAAGGCTGAAAAAAAGCAGAAACGGAGGCGATAAACAGATGTAATTACTAGACAGAAATACAGATTGTACTTTGTATAGATGTATAGATAGATAGAAGGGAATATGCTTTGTACAAACACACATATGTAGACACACATTCATGCCACAGAGGTATTCAAATCCCAAAAGTACCACAATGGAAATCTGTGACACATATGTAAACAGTTAACACATGAACTTGCTGTCACTCCCACATGTACAAGTCTTTTAATATGCAGGGACAACGACAGATGCTGCTGTTTTAGATGCTGTTATCTGTTTGTTTACTTCAGTAATGACTGTAAGTATAAAACATATCTATGTTCAATTACGATGTCTTGAGACAAACATAAATGCTTAGTTTTGCATCAACTAATGCATCATTCCACTAAATATATAGCATGTATGAAGGTCATGAATAAACAAAACGTAACAAACATTAGGTGTTATTTTAAGTATTTAAAGTGCTTGTATTCGTTGAGAAGAATGGTCCCTTTAAACCAGTATTTTAATGTTGTGGCACTTGGTATAACTGCTTTGTATAGTTTTAGAGTGGTTAAAAAAAGTGCATCATATTTTATGAGAGTATTCATTGTTTTGCAAGTAAAAGCTAAATGTGCAAATAAAGGAGTGCAGCCCAGCCTGAATGGGTGCACAGCATGGACTGACTGCATTATCTCCCTCGTATATGCCAAGTCACCCAAAAGGAAAATACTTAAAGTTAAGTATCTGTGTTGTGCATACTGCGCAGTACTTGAATAAATGTCCTTAGTTAATTACCATCTCTGCACCCATGTGGACCTGCAGTAAAACACCTTAAGTAGCCTCTGTCTCTCTAGGCTCCTCACGCGCGTATTGTGTGCAATACTAACTTTACCTTGCTGCTTTGCACAATGCGCGTCTTCCTTTAATTAAAACAAATACACACGCAGACACCCAGTGCACTCGCACTAACCCATGCATTCACACTCCTAGAAGACATGCATTGATTTTTCTTCCTCTTCACATTTGCCTCTCTCTCTCTCTCTCTCTCTCTCTCTCTCTCTCTCTCTCTCTCTCTC